TAGTCCAGTGCTTAGCTGTGAATCTCGGCTTCCATTGGCTACTTACTTGACAGGGGAGACTCCATGATCAAATAACCACAGTTTTAAAAAATAGGGTACAGTTCTGAACAGAGAATTCTTAAATGAGGAAACTCAAATAGCTGAGAAGCACTTAAAGAAAATTTCAATGCTCTTACCATCAGGGAAATGCAAATCAAAACTACTTTGAAATTCAATTTTACATCTTATCAGAATGGTTAAGATCATTAAAAACAAGTGATAGCTCTTGCTGGAGACGATGTGGAGCAAGGAGAACATTCATTCATTGCTGGAGGGAGTGCAACCTTCTACAGCTACTGTGGAAATCAGAGTGGTGTTTCCTAAGGAAGATGGGAATGCATCTACCTCAAGATTTAGCTGTACCATTCTGGATATAAACCCTAAGATCACTTTATCCCATCAGAAAGACACATGCTCGACCATGTTTACTGCTGCTCTATTCATAGTAGCCAGGAACTGGGAAAAACCAAATGTCTCTCAACAGAAGGATAAAGAAAATGAAATGCAGCTGGCTGATAGTGGCACACGTCTTTAATCCCAGCGCTTTTGAGGCAGAGACAGATGAGTCTCTCTGAGTTTGAGGCCAGCCACATATTGAGTAAAGTGTCAAGTCCCAAAGAAACTCAGGACAAATGGCTATGTGTGGTGCCTATTTGACATGGCAAAGCACATGCTGTCTGTCTGCCAGGTTCCTTTAGCATAGCAAGCAGAGTCCTGGCTCCTCTCAGTGCTTCCCATGCCTGTTCCCCATCTGAAGCCTCTCCAGCCCCTGAGTTTTGCTTAGATTATTAGATTATTAGAAAAATCCTGTCATTCCAGCCACATGTTCTCTTTGTCCTCTTCATCCTCCATTCTTGGCTCCTGGTCCTTTCCCTTGCCTCTTCCCCAGCCCTCCTCTGTTGATCTGGTCTATTCCTCTGGCCATGTTCAATCCATTAGTTTCTCTGCTCTGAATTATTCCAGGCACCTCTGATTAAATCCCCCTTCATTTCAACAATAAAACTTCCCCTCAAGCATACCCAGGAACAGCCATTGTTGTGGGTATTCACCAGAGAAGACTGCTTGGACATAGATTTAAGCCAATAGAAAGCCTTTATTAGCTGGCCAGTGACCACACCGTGTGTTCAGAATGGTAGTGTAGCACTGAGCCTTTCTCAGGGTGAGCTTTTAAATACACAAACCATGTTCTGGGCTGACACACTTCAGTTAACAAGAGCAGTTAGCCAGAAGCAGAACTACAGAGGCTAAAAAGTGAAGTTGGTACATTAAGAGACTTTCCCAGACTATGAACTTTAATGAACTAGGCTTTTGTTTTCATTTTGGCAGGTGGTGCTGCCTGCATGCTGAGTTTTACAGTCTGAATAGCACTTCCATCATGGAGTCAGTTGTGCTATTACCCTGTTACAGTCAGGTCTTCATTTTCATTCATAAGGGACTAGGTGGGGCAGAGAGGTCTTGCTAGGAAAGGGAAAAAGATTAGCTAGTTGTGGGAGGGCTGGAGCATCAAGTGAGAAAAAGGAGGAGAGAAGGGGGCAAGAGAGGGAATACGAGAAGAGACAGCTAAAATTAAGGGGCATTTGAGGGGTAGTAGGGAAACCTAATGCAGTAGAAGCTTCCTAAAATATAGCCATATATGAAGAAAATCTAAATGAAATTGCCAAATAATGGGGGAGACAGAGCCCTAACTGGCCATCTCTTGTCACCAAATGAAGCTTCCCGTACTGGGATTGAGTTAGATCTAATTGAGTTGTTGGCCAAAGGGCCCCACAGGAATCCCCAAATGACTGAGGTCCTTGCAAAGACTATAGGTTGCTCTGCACAAACTGATGGCAAGGCCCCATTGCCGACGACACCTACACAATTTATTGGACATGGAGAAATCAAGAAGTAGAAGCTGGTGCCTACACAGAGCCTTCACCCATATGTCCTAACATCTTTGGTACAGGAAAGTACTCTACACTTTACCAAAAGAAACATAAATACCAACCCAGCCACAAACTGATGGACCAGCTTGACTCCATTTTAAGATTAGAAGCCATGTTAATTGCGTGGTGGTGGCACACACCTTTAATTCCAGCACTTGGGGGGCAGGAAGATCTCTGAGTTCTGATCTACAAAGGGAGTTGCAGGACAGCCAAGGATACACAGAAACATCCTGTCTTGGAAACCCCCAGTACTAGTACTTTCCCGTTGGGACCACCAGTCCACAAATAAGGACACAGAAACTTATTATTAATTATGAAAGCTTGGCCTTTAGCCTAGGCTTGTTTTCCTAGCCGTTATAACTTAATGAACCCATATTTTTTAACCTACAATTATGCCTCGTGGCCTTTTACCTCAACTCTGCACTGCATGTCCTGCTCTCCCTGCCTGGCTATTGGCCACTCAGTTCCTTATTAAACCAATCACAGCAATACATCTTCACACAGTGTATGAATACCCTTGGGTTCGGCCCCATTTTCTGGAACTTGACATGCAGAACTTGACTATACCCTGACGACCTCCATTCTGGAAATCCCCCAGACCTTTGAAAACCTCCTAGTTTTGCAGTTCTTGAGCTCTATAAATCCCACATCCTCTGTGTTTGATGCTTGTGGTGATATATTATTTATGATTTATTAATCATAGCTTCTGGCTGCTGGGATTAAAGGTGTATATCACCCCTACCTGATCTCTATAGCCTGAGGCTGACTTTGCTTTCTGAATCCTCAGGCAAGCTTTTATAAATCACAAATAATATATACCACAGATGCTATTCTTTCAAATCCTGCTTTAGGGAAATAGCCCTGATTGACAGAAAATAAAAGCTTACTTAACTTGACTAAAAGAATTTGGGTAATGGTCTTTACTCTTGTTCAGTGGGATTAACAAAACCCTTTGATCTACATGGTGTCCTGTCTGCAAGACACCAATGCTTGGGCATTGGTGGCACAAAAACTTGTGAGAGTAACCCAACAACCCAACCGATATCTGATTTGACTTATGGCCTACTCCACAAGATGGGACCCATACCTGACAGTGCCTGGGTGGTCAAGAATCTGAGACGAGATAGTCCAGGGACTTAGGGTTAAGCCAAATACTACTGTTCTAGTAAAGGAACATAGTAATAAAATGATTCCTAATGACAGCCTGCTATACTCATAGAGCAGTGCCTTGCGTAGTCATCATCAGAGAAACTTCCTCCTGCAGCAGACAGGAGCAATGACCCGCAACCAGACATTATGCAGAGTGAGAGACCTTGTAAATGGGATGTCTCCATCAAGTCCCTCCCCTCAGGGTTCAGGGAACCAAGGGAGAGGAGGCAGAAAGAGTCTAAGAGCCAGAGGCAATGGAGGACACCAGGAAAACACAGCTCACTAAATCAACGCGATCAAAGCTCGAATGACTCAGAGACTGACATGCACAGGGCTTGCACAAATCTGCATCAGGTCCTTTGCGAACATAGTATGGCTTCTAGTTTAGTGTTTTTATGGGATTCCTGGGTGGACAAACAAGTGGGTCTCTGATTCTTTTGCCTTCTCTTGGGCTTTTTTATATCTGTTTTGTCCAGTTTTGATGTGTTCATTTTTTGTTTGTTTGTTCATTTGTTTGAGACAGTTTCTGTCTTTTTTTTTTTAAAGATTTATTTATTATTTATTATGTATAGATCATTCCTCCTGCATGTTTCCCTGCAGGCCAGAAGAGGGCACCAGATCTCATTACAGATGGTTGCGAGACACCATGTGGGTGCTGGGAATTGAACTCAGGACCTCTGGAAGAGCAGCCAGTGCTCTTAGCCTCTGAGCCATCTTTCCAGCCTCCTCGTGTGTTACATTTTGTGTTCTTATTATATCTTATTTTATTATTATCCCTTTCTTTTTTAAGATTTATTTATTATATATTCACTGTTCTGCATGTATGCATGCTGGCCAGAAGAGGGCAGCAGATCTCAATATTGATGGTTGGGAGCCACCATGTGATTACCTGGAGTTGAACTCCGGACCTTTTGGAAGAGCAGCCTGTGTTCTTCTGAGCCATCTCTCCAGCCCACCTGTTTGCCTTCTGAGAGACAGAGAGTGACTGGATGGGAGGGGGGGGGTTGAGAGGAACTGGGAGGGATAGAGAGAGGGAAAACTGTAGTCAGGATATATTATGCGAGGGAAAAATATATTTGCAATGAGGAAAAACAATTTTCAAAAAACAAACAAAACCCTTCTTCATCTGTTCATGGACAATCATAGTTTCTCCCACCTTTTGGTTCTGTAAAGAAGGTGAAGGTGTAAGTATCTTGGAGACTGAAGTGTTTTATTTCACAGGTGGTAGCAACCCTCAATTCACTCTTGAGTGGCCAGAGAATTCTCCGTTGTCTGTGGCTGTCCTATCTGAGGGTGACTAGCAAATAATTCCGGATGACAATCGCTGCTCTAAGGAAACACTGTGAGATTTGCAAGGTTTTTCTTTTTACTTCTCAAAAATAGCTGAGGTCGCTGGGCGGTGGTATTACACGCCTTTAATCCCAGTACTCGGAAGGCAGAGTCAGGAACATCTCTGCGAGTTCGAGGCCAGACTGGTCTACAGCCTCCAAAAGCTACAGAGAAACCCGTCTCCCTCCCACCTGGAAAAAAAAAAAAAAAAGCAGAGGTCACAAAGCTATCATTCTGGAAGCAGAAAAATTCTGGACTTGAGACCAGCGAAGTGGGGGCCCGAAGGTAAGTCTGCATCCTGCCATAAGCAAGCCTATCTTTGCAGTGCACGCTGCGCTGAGACTCTCAGTTCCGTGCGTCTTTTGCGTCCCAAGCCGAGCAACCACTTCCTCATTGCTTTGAGTGCTGTGGCTTCCGGAAGTCGGGGCGTGTTAAAAGAATCTACGTTCTTTCCCCCGCCTCTTAGCCCCGCAGATTGACAGCACCAACAGCCAACAGATAATCGGAGTCGTGTGTCCTGTTACATGATTGGTTTGGAGTTTTGTAACCGCCCAGACATACTTGGGGGGAATTGGCTGAGCCACAGTTTTGAAAATCGTAGATTCGCCCGCGCTCACGCCCCGTTGGTCCTCGGCCGCGGCGAGCCCTGAAGACCGAGTCCAGCGGGTCGGGCTTGGCGGAGAGCTTCATCTGCCGAGGCCGCGGACTGGAATCGGAGTACTCCGGGAAGACACGGCGCCGCCCGGTGAGTGAGTGCAGGCGGCCGGCGTGGCGGGGTCATAGTGTTCCGCATCTGGTCCTGTCCGCTTCTCGGCCCAGGCTGGGCCGGGGGCTTGACCTCTCATCCTCCCCCCCTTGTTGCCTGGGGATGTGGGGGTCACTTTCCAGTGGTGCTGGGCTTGGAGGTGACCTTCATTCCCGTGCACCAGGGCCCTGGGATCTGAGAAGAATGGCCAGTCCCCTCCCCCACGCGGGGCCTAACCTAGTGCACAGCCTAGGCTACTCCGTGGACCCGGACCTGAGTCTCTGTACTGTAACGGCCGGTCAGCTTCCCGCACCCCAGCTGAGCAGCATTTTTGAACTTTCCCAGGCCCGGAGGCCGATCCTGCGTCTTATTTTGTCATTCCCGCAAGGGCATTCTCGTCAACAGCGCAGTTCTATCCAGCCTCCGCCTGCCTGCTCAGGGTCAGGATTGTGTCGTTCTGAGCTTGTAGGTAGTGTCCAGGAGCTTGTGGTCAAGAGCAGTTTAAATCCAGGCTCCGCCTCCCAATTTACTGGGTGACTTTGACTTAGACTTCTTGTCACCTTATATGTGCATGTGTACCCTGGAATATTGGGCAAGAAGGAAATGAGAGGGTCCCTGGCCCGGACTAGGACTCCGAATTAGAGAGCAACTATATGATGGATCTTCGTGCTTGGAGGTGTGTGGGGAGAGGTGCTTGGTTCACTTCCTGCATCCTTAGTAGAGATGCCGGTGAATGGCACAGGAGTATGTACGGAAAGAAAAGTGACCTCCCTTCTCCCCTGGTGGGATTCGGGTGCTCTGTTCTTTCAGGGGCTAAAGGTGAAGTTTCCCAAGAGTGTTCTTGTTACACCCTTCGCTTTTCAGGGTCACCTAACTTTCAGTGAGGGCCTGCTAGGAAGCACATTTCCCCATGGAAGAAGTGTGTTTTGGACTTGGTCAATGAAGCTCTCATGCAGGTTGGCAGTTTGAACAAGTGCTTTGTTAAGTCACCCACTTGTTGCTTTCTGTAGCTCCTCTGCAAATCTTTGATGTCCTTGAACAGTCTTCTCTTTTGCTGACCTTGAACTGAAATCTTGGGCTTTGCCACAGCCTAGTGCAGGTGGATGGGGGGTGGATGGGGGGGGGACTCAGGAGTGGCAGTGGGAAGGCCATACTTGTGATTAGCTGGCTGTATAGTTAATGCTTTTTCCTAAATCCTCCATGCTCCTGTCTGTTTTTGCCGCAGTTAGTGCTCCCTTGGTACTAGCTCAGGGGCTTTGGGTGTGCTTTGGCTTGTCCTAACCTGTGCCTACTGAGTTAGTCACTGAATGTAGTATTCCTTTGTGTGATGGTGGTGGTAAGGAAAGCTTTAGGATTAGTTGATAGATGATTAATTCATTCCACAAGTGCCAGACATCTGGAGCGCTACACATGTTCTTGTTGATGAACAAGACTAGGGGCTTGCCCTCAGGGAGTAATATTTAGTAGGTAGAGAGTAGCAGTAAACCAATAATCACTCATTTGCTGCAAACATAACTGGAATCTGTGTGAGAGATCTTGGCTTGGATTGGAGGTCAGGCTCTCCCTAAGGATCTGAGAGCTAAGTGAAGAAGCCATGCAAAACAGGAGACAGAGTTCCTGGAAGGCAGAACTTGTTTGAAGGACAAAGGGATAATGCTTCCCACAAATCAAACTGAAGAACTTTAAAGGAAAACCCTAGAGGCTATCATGTATAATGGCATTAAGTTACAGAAAGATTAGGGGGATCAGTAATCTAGCCCTTCCTTCTGTGGCCTTCTTTGTAGGCAAGGCACTGAGGTGTACATTCATGGCTAGTGCTTTTGGAAGTGTAAGTTGGGTAGTCTGACTACAGTATATGGCCAGTTCAAGCACCCTCTCCATTGTTGCTAGGAGTCTTAGCTTGGGTCATCCTTGTGGATCCTGGCAGTTTCCCTGGCACCAGGTTTCTCCCTAACCCCGAAGTCATCCCCCTTTCCCCATCAAAATGTCTTTTTTCATTACTGTCCCTAATTATCATCAGAGTCTTTACCCAGTAACTGATGGACACCTATATGGAGATCCACAGCCAAGCACTGGGCCTTGCTCTGGGAGTCCTGAAGAAAGGGAACAGGGACTGTATGAGCCAGGGGGTCTAGGTCATGCAAGACACGGAACCCACAGAGACAGCTGACCTGAGCTTTTGGGAGCACTTGGACTCTGGACCAACAGTTAGGGAGCCTGCATGGCACTGATCTAGACCTCCTGCATGTGTGTGACAGTTGTGTAGCTTGATCTGTTTCTAAGACTCCTAGTAGTGAGTATAGGACCTGTCCCTGGCACTTAGCTGGATTTTGGGAACCTGTTTCCTTTGCTGGATTACCTTGGTCCTACCTCAACTTGATGTGCTGTGCTTTGTTCAAGCCCAGGGGAGTCTCCTTTGTGAATGGAGTAGATGGTAGGAGGAATGGGAATGGAATAGGAGAGGAGGAGGGAGGGAAAACTGATCACCATGTAATAATTTAAATAAAATTTAAAAAAGAAAAAAGTTATATATTATCCTTAAAAAAAGTGTAAGCCGAGTGGTGGCTCACTGTGCCTATGTAAGGTGGGATCTGTTGTGTTGTAGTATTGTAGCTTGTAGCTATCACCCACTCTCTTGTTGTTTATGTGTTTACCACTTGGGGTATTTATTGAGGTTCCACTATGACAGTAACAGAATACTTCCACTGAGTGTAGAACTTTTGTTAGGGTTTTGTAACCAGATCATAAGCCATTAAGAAAGTAAAAAAACTGGCATTGCGTCATCTTTTGCCTGGTATTTATAGACAGGTTTTCCTGAAAGCAACATGTTGTGTATTCACTGACCTCACTGTCTCTCATTCACTTATCAGGCTTTAACTCTAGGGAGGGGCTGATGGGGTTTCTTTGGAGAGCACGTGTGGACCCCTCATTTCTTAGCATGCACCACCATTCTCAGTTCTACTGTCCATTTACTTGTTTATTTGTGTGTATGTAAGTGTGCGTGTTGTGTGCCAAAACTTTACCCGGGGACATGCAACACTTTAGGGTCAACTCACCACCCTAGATGGGGAACCCATGGCAGACTAAAGTACCGATACCACCAAAGTCTAACTTGATGAACCAGTGAGTTACTTAGGATTACTTAGAGGAGCAGAAATGACTCAAAGACAATTTCATCACCAAGGCCTACCCCAGCATTGGTGACAACTCACAAAAACTGGGACATTTGCAGTATACTGCACAGACTACAGCCACCTCTACAGGTTAGACAGTGTCCTTTCCAAGTGACTCAGTCTAAACATCATCCAGGAAGCTTGGCTGGTTTTTGCTTCTTGCAGTGCAGCCTGTTTGAGAATCGTGTTGGCAGGCTGGGCTCCTCTGAGAGTCCTCATTGCAGCTCAGCTGTGCTTGTGTGAGAGGGACTCCTCAGCTTTTATTTTACTCTGACAGGGAGGGAGGAACCTAGTGAATTTGGCTCGCTTCAGGCACTTCCTGGAGCTATTTTGAGTTGGTGACCTTGTTTCAGGAGCTTCCCTGCAGATGGCAAGGTTCTACTTGGGAGGAAACTATGAGCACAATGGTGCCAGTGTGGCTTAACCCACTCATGCAGCATCTTGTAGGAGTCATTTCTCTCCCCTCACCATGTGGGTCCCAGAGATTGAATTTCAGTTATCAGGTATGGTAGCCAGTGCCTCAACCTGCTGAGTTGTTCTGTTAGCCCTCCACTGTCATTTTAAAGAGGCAGTTGGATATGATGTCTTGATGGTCTGGTATCTGGGATCAACAAGGGTGGCCATGTCTTAGTCCCCATCCATGAGAAGTAGGAGGAGAGCCCCCAAGAAAGAAAACAGTTCTGTATTTGGGAAAAGAGAGAGTATGGGAGTGGTTGTTTCCCCTTGATCCAGGAAGGTAGTGCTTGGTCATATTAGGCCCCAAGGACCATTTGTAAAGTTTATATCAGAATTAAAGTGTGGGACTATAGAGACAGTCATGCTGTGTTTGTGTTGTCAAAAGAACAGGGTCACTGTAATGTCATTTCTTTTTGTGAGATGAGGCCATTGGATTGGCATTTGGAATTCTGCAATGGCAAGAGGCTTTGAATTGTGAGATGCACAGGTTTAGATGCAGGGTATTTTGTGTGATTTTTGGGTCTGGTAGACTTTCCTTGGAGAAGGTCTTGGTTTCTAGCTTTGAATCCTTACGTTTTTGTCCCTACCTTTACCAGACAGTGCCACCATGGGGACCACAGCCCCAGGGCCCATTCACCTGTTGGATCTATGTGACCAGAAACTCCTGGACTTTGTCTGCAACATAGACAATAAGGACTTGATGTGGCTCAAGGAGATTAAGGAGGAGGCTGAGCGCATGTTCATCAGGTAAAGGCAGGGCCATGCTGGGGCGGGTGTCCTGATGGGCCAGACAAATAGTCTGACAGGGTTCCTTCCTGAGTGCCTAGTGCAGTGGGCAGGAGAAGAGACAATTGAGCCCTTCTTCTGGCTCACTGTAGTTGGTGGTGTCTGAGTGTGTGGCCTCTGATAGCTTGTCCCAGGACATATGTCCTGGAACTTGCTTCCCTGCCATATGACCAGGAAGAAGCTCTGAGTGTCCCGCTGGTGACTGCCCTTAGCTTTGCAGAGCGTTCTTAGTAATGGTCTCTCTATTTATTGCCAAGAATGGGGTGGAATATAGTCTACTAGTGAGAGAAGGTGTGACAGCTCAGCAGTCCCCAGGAAGCCTCAAGTTCATTCTCCTTGTACTCAACAGAGAATTCAGCAATGAGCCAGAGCTGATGCCCAAAACTCCTTCTCAGAAGAACCGTCGGAAGAAGAGGCGGGTGTCTAACATTCAGGATGAAAACAGAGATCCCACGAGGAAAAGGTAGGAAAGGCTGGGGAGGCTGCACTGGAGGAGGTCTCTGAGAGTTTGCCCCGAATGTGCTGATAGGAGCAGCAGCTAGAAGGCAGTGGTAGCTGGTACCCACCCCATGCAGACACAGTTGAGATGCCATGGGCAAAATGAAGTGCTAACCCAGATCAGAGTACAGGTGTGAATTTCTGTGCAGTTGGCAGAGGTGGAGATGGAGTTTGATCTGTGGTTTGGAGGAGGGGAGAGGCACCAGAGGTGTGGCCCAGGTTGTTGGTTCCCAACTCCTCTGTTAGGGTATAATTCCCTATAGGAATGGTGGTGGCTGCAGCACTCAGGTAAAGATGCTGGTCATTCCAATCAGGTGGCCCCTGGTATGTATGTCAACCACAGTTTCATACCTCAGTGGCTCTGTGTCTTTGGAATGACTTCCTAGGGCCATTATTTCAGTCTTGCAGATTGAGAGCAAGAGTGACGTTTGTAGAAGGTGCTTAGCACAGTGTAATCACAGTTGAGAAGCTGGTGTGAATTTACTCTTCCCAGCAGTTCTATGAGTAATGGAACTCACTGGTATCCATATTGTAGTTGGGGTGACTGAGACTCAAGGACAATTGGGGCCTCGTGGCTAGAGGTGGTAGAGTCTGCTTTGGAACATCCAGGTTTTGCCTTCAGATCCTTTGTTCATACGTCATTGAGGCTGGTGGCTATTAGGGAGATCAATGTACTCTAATTTTACTTTTGGGGTGCCCCTGCCCTACTGGGTTGTCTCAGCCTCTGTTCTGCTGCCATAACAGGTTATCCCGGAGGAAGTCTCGGAGCAGTCATGCAGGCACCCGGTGCCTCCGCAGCAAGGACAAAGTGGAGAAGCCTGCTACTATTGCTGGGGAGAATGGCTCCCCTGTGTTGCGGCGTGTAACTCGGGCTGCGGCGGCTGCGGCGGCGGCAGCCTCTGTGGCATCAGCTGCTTCCTCTCCCACTGCTGGGTCTCCCACAGTGATCAAGAAAGCTGTGGTAGAGGTAAGCGCCAGAGAGCAACTGAGTGCAGAGCTGCACCTCATGCAGATTAGAGGCAGCCCTCCTCCAGCTGCAGGCCCAGCTCCAGCCACTCCGCCAGCCTTCCAAGACATCCTGACATCGGAGGAGGAATCCACACCCAACAAGTCAGATGCTGGGAAGCTGGAATCTGTCGCAGTGAGCTCCCTCAAGGCTACACCCCAGAGCTCCAAGAACAGAGGAGTTGGGGCAGGACGTTCTGTTTCCAAGCTCAAGATTGCTCGGGCCTCCCGGGGCCTACAGGACTCTCCAGACTCTCCATGGCAGGAGAGGGTGCTTTCTCCTATCCTGCCAAATAACATCTTGCCCACCACAGCCAAGAGCCCTCTTGGGAATGTTCAGTCAGTGCAGCGAAGCCTGATTTCCCAGGATCCTCAAGTGCCACTAGCCTTAACACACTGTTTGGTGGCTGAACAAGAAAATGCTAGTCGTAGGACAAGTAGAAGGCTTGCCAAGAAGGCTGACAAGGAGCCAGAGGCCTCTGCCCGCATCATCTGTGAGTGCGGGACAAGTGTGGGGTGATGGTGCAGGGGGTGGCTTGGCTGGGATGCTTTCTGAGAGCTTTCTTTCCATTGACCATCAGTGATAATGTTTCTCATGGGAATTCTCCCTGGAGCCACTAGCCATGCCTGGCTGTTGAAAATGTGTCTTGTCTGATGGAGAAGCTGATTTTATGCCTCCTGAGGGAGGCAAGTTCTTTACTACCGAGCAATAGCCCCTAACCCTTGCTTTTCTTTGGTTTTCTTTTTTGTTTTGAGATAGGTTCTTGCTATGTAGCTTAAGGCTGACTTTGGATTCAAAGTCCTCCTGCGTCTGCCCTTCCCATCCCCCTGTGTTAGAATTATGAGTGTGTGCCACCAAGGAGTTGAGTTCTACGTTGTCTGTTTGTTTTTCTTTTTAATTGTATGTGCACATGCACACTTTGGCCATGGTCTGTGTGTCTGTCTCTCTCTCTGTGTGTGTGTGTACATCAGAAGACAACTTGTCAGTTCTCTTTCCACTGTGTAGGTCCTGATGAGTGAACTCAGGTTGACAGGCTTGGCAAGGTGCCTTTACTTCTGAGTCATCTCACTGGTCCTGAGATTTAATTCTCATTGCACTTTCTACAATTTAGATTTAAATGGCCACATGTAGCTAGTGGCTGCCACTGCCAGTGAAAGATCTAGTTCAGCATTGGTTATAGATGAGGAAATAGGCCTAGAATGTTAGCCCCAGTATTGCCATGGTCCTTTTCCCTAGTCAGTATATCTCTCATTGCTGTCTTAGAGTGACCGACTTAGACTCACTGTCCTGTATGGAGCTCCTGATGGTGAAACTTCTGTGATGCGTCATGTAGAGCATGTGGGCTGGTACCTGGTAGCTGCCTTCATTATGGTCAGATCTAAGCACAGGCGGCTAATGCCCAGGTGGGAATAGATCTTGTGAGCCATAGAGGAGAGTAGGCATCCCTGAGAGTCAGGATTGGCTATCTGAGTGAGTGGGGACTTCTGGGAAGATTTTGAAGGCTGCCTGTGCTCTGGCCAGGTGGAGAAAATGTAGCACCAGCTATCCTGGCCAAGGAAACAGCTTGCACAAAGACTTGGAGATACCAAGCAGTAAATGATGGGCTGCCTGGAGTGTCTTGCCATTAAAGTAGATATAGTCCAGTGATAGCTGGAGGTTCTTAGGTACCCTATAAAAATAAAGAAGGAAGCTAGCTCAGGTCCCTGCAAGACCTAGGTCAAAGGACAGGTTAAGTTTCATAGTAAATATGAAGTAAGTTCAACTGGCTTTTGTAAGATTTATGCAAGAAATTATGTCTGTGCAGCAGTACTTTTGGCTGCTCAGGGTTTATACCTTTTAATAGAAGAGGAAACGGAGGTAGACAAGCTGTGGAGCCCAGAAATTGGGACTTGAGCCCACTTGCATTCCATCTAGGAAGGCAGGTGCTAAGGGGCTGGGGTTTGTCTGACAAGTGAAGAACCACACTCTGGAAGGTTCTCTTTGGCCTGGCTCTAGGCTCTGAAGCCTGGGGAGACAGTCTGGGCCATGTGCAGCAGGAGGCTTGGGGTGGGGTGGGTGTCACAGGTTCTTCTTAGATTTCCTCAGTACTGAAATTGGCCCTGGGGAGGGCCCACAGGGCTAGGGGAGCCTGGAGCCATGGGAAGCGTAGGAAGAATTGGGGAGAATCTCATATACCCCTCCTTTTTTATTTGAGGCAGGATTTTTCTGTAGCCCTGGTGGTCCTGGAGCTCGCTCTATAGATCAGGCTGTCTTTGAACTCAGTGGTCCTCCTCCTAAGTGCTGAGATAAAGGTGTATGTCACCATGCCCAGCTCCCTCCAAATTCAAGTTCCCACTCATGTTTTTTTTTTCCCCATCTCCCTGTTCAAATCATATTTACCCTGCTATTTTTTTTTCTCTACCCCCCCCCCCCCATCCCTTTTTGCCTTCCTAGTTTCTGCAATTACTCCAAGTTACCTCACCCAATGCAGTCTTTTCTGGCACCATACATTTGCCTGTAGATTTCTTGATTTTGGTTTTTATAGTGGAAAAGTATTCTATAATGTATTCCAACCCACAGCTTTTTATAGACATTGTGCAAAGGCTTGTCAGTTGGATGAGTTGGTGATAGGATGCGATTTAAAGCTTCCAGCACTGTGGTCCCAAAGACACTGCCATCTTTATGGGGACTTTTTAATCCCTTGAATCAAGGCGTATTAGCACCCGGCTCCAGCACATTGTCAGCATTCCAACCAGAAATTGGTATAAATGCTACCTTGTCAGGGTTGTAGCCAATTTTCTTAATGATGCACTGACTTCCTTAACATCCTCATTGCTCTTCTTGCTGTAGGGTGGCTTGTTGGAATCCATTTTGTTGGCACCAACAATTAGTTGTTTTACATCCAGAGTGTAAGCCAAAAGGGCTTCTTCACAGATCTGCCCATTCTTGGGGATGCCAGCTTTAGATTCACTATGCTAGCAGCAGCAGTCAGGGTAGCACAGCCAGCCTGAGACAGGTCTGCACTGGTGTTTTTGATCAAATCTCTGTGTCCTGGGCTTCAATGATAGTCACATAATGTTTGCTGGTAAAATTTCCACAGAGAGATGTCAATAGTGATACCATGCTCACACTTAGTTTCTCTAAGACCTAGGTGTACTTGAAAGAGCGGCTTCCTCTCTCAGCAGCCTCTTTTTCAAACTTCAGTGGGTTGTCTGTCAGTTCCACCATATTTGTAGATGGCCAGTAGTGGGGGACTTGCCCAAATCTACACATGGGGTGGGGACACTGTTGATGTGAGTCTTTTTCTTTCCCGTTTTTGCTTCAAATTAGTGATGGTTTTCCTAACAGTGGACCTGTAGCTCTTAAGCATTGTCTGTTGCTCTTCCCCTTGAGTCTTCCCTGCCCATGGATGGGCTTCTGGGCTGTGTGTGAGCAGGCCTGTCTAATCCTAAACCTAGCAATCCTCTTCTTTCTTGAGATAGAGGAAGAGGCAGGGGCCAGAATGTGGAGTCACTCAGCCCCCAGGTGGCCTGTCTGAAGTGGTAATGACGTTGGCCTTGAGTGTAGTTGGAGAACTCATCTTAGTGCTTGAGTATGGTACATGTTCAGTAACTCATTTAGACAAGTTAACCCTGGGCCCTGGGCTGCGTTACTGAAACTCAAGGGGTGAGAAAGGGCAAGGCAAAGCCTTACTGATGCTTTTCTGATGCCAGGCTCTGAGGTGGGACTGGTGGGCAATTCAGATGGTGTGCTGTTTGGGCTCTCCCTAAGGTGGCTTTTTACCCACCTGCAGCAGGGGAGTAGGAAGGAAAAGGAGACTGGCAATAAAGGGTGGTTTCGGGGCCTCTGGAGTCAGTGGTGGAGCACAGTACTGTGAACCCTTTTGTCCTTCTGGTCTAGCGTGCATTCTCCAGGAGGAAGCTTTCTGGCATTAGTGGGCAGGCAGGGGCAAGGGTCACTGCTGCGCAGTTTCAAGAAGTCCAGCTGTATAGGTAGTCAGCGTTATCCTTCAGGCATCCTGGCCATTTTTCTTAATTGGAGGGTAGCTCCTCCTCAGTCCTTAGGCCAGGCCACTTACTTGCTCCTAGGCCTGTTCTGGCACACAGGGGCTGCCTAACATTCCAGGAAGTCTTTGTGCTGTGGAATAGTTAGGTGTTCAGTTGGGTATCTTCTGGTCTTTTGTCCTTTTTACCTCACTGCTCCTGCAGTCAAGGATCTTGGAGTTAGGAGAGAGAGGCTAGGGCAGAGGAGAGGAGCATACCTTCCGACCATAAACCCTCAAGGTAGCACCTATAGCTGCCAGTCTTATTTTGTTGCTGCTCCCTCCTGGCCCCTAGCCTGACTCCCATAGCCCAGAAAGGAGAAATTACTGCTCGGTTCTCTCTGAGCCCTCCCAGTTTGTTGCTCCAGTTTGTTACCGTCTTTCCTGTTTTTCTTAGGCCTTGGGCAGCTCTGGTTTCTTGTCTGCTTAGCTCTGGTCTTACTTCCCAGACCCAGGAGCTGGACTTTTCCTAGGCCCCCACAGCCCTTCTTTCATTTTGTGATCTTGGTGTTTTTCTTTCTTCCTAGATCATTGACACCATCTCACTCTGTAGTCCAGCTAGGTCCAGAATTTACTATAAAGCTCAGCTGACTTTGAACTTGTGGCAATCCCTCTGTCCCAGCATCCTGAGTGCTGGGGTTAAAGATGTGAACCACTGTGCCATAATTAATACTTCTCCAAGGATATCCCTCAGTGAAATTCGGCATTGTTTTACTGTGTGTGATAGGATGATAGGGTTTGGTGCTGAATGAAGCCTTGATAGGTGCTAAGTGTCAGCATTTTGTCCTTGTCTTTGTTGCTGTGGTGCTGTTTTTTTGCTAATGTTAATATAGTAAGAAGGAAAAGTCACACTTTAATATACAGTGGTGAAAATAGTTAGGACCTGTGTATGCCTAAAAGGGTCTCAAATATTTCCAGAAGTTGGAGAATATACTTTGAAAACTACTGTCTTCTTCTTCCGCCTCCTCTCCTTTGGCTTCAGTTCAGGTCTCCCTATATAGGCTTCAGCATCCTTGACTTGATCATTGCACGTACCCTAGTTTACTCTATTAGATCATCAGATGCTGGCAGGAAGACCAGACAGTGGCTTCAATTTTCCTTATGGCATTGAGCCTCTGGCACCTGGCTTAGAGCCCAATTCATAGTAGGCACTTGATGAATATTTGTTGAGTGAATAAGCTGCTTATGTTGGGGCCCAGTGTTATCTCAAACATCCATCTTTCCAAGATACTGCTAGCCTAGTGAAGAGGTGGACGTGTGCCTGCTAGGCAAGTGACATAAAGCAAATTGCAGTGGGGTGTGAGGATGGATGAGGGTGAGCCCGGAGCCCAGGGAGGCCTGTGTGTCTATGAAAGGAGCAGTGATATGCCTTTGTCAGAACTTCCTGATCCTCTTGGTCTGGTTCCTGACTGGTTTCCAATGGCATCTTTTTTTTAATTTCCTTCATTTCTCTTCAGGTCACAGTTACCTGGAGAGACTCTTGAATGTTGAAGTGCCTCAGAAAGTTGGGTAAGTTCCATGCCAGTGTCTCCCACAGGGGTGGTCAGGGCACATGGGGGTGTGGTGGGATGGGCGGTGAAGGAAGCTTTTATTGAGGCTAAGCCTTCCCTCCTCACCCTGGACTCTCCACAGCCATGCTCCCTTAGCTTGGTCCCTGTGTAACCAGGCAGCAAGCAACATGACCGTCCGGTCTCTAGGCAACATTTCATCTGTATCACTTGTCAGGTCTAGCTCATGAGTTCCATGGCTGTAAATGAAGCATAACAGCCATTTAAAGTGAGGTTCAGTAGAGTGGGGTGGTCTGAGGTTCAGGGTTGCTTCCTGCCTGGATTAGACCTAGCATTACTTAGTGCCAGAACACTGACTTCTCAGAGGTCTTGCTCTGCTATCCTGAGTTAGCCCTTCCTTACTTTGGGGCAGAGGTTCAGTGCTTGGGATGAGGAAGTGGGTCTGGGCAAACCTTTGACTTAGCCACGCTCCCTCCCCCCCCCCTCAATAATGAGTAGGCTTCAAAAGAGGGGACTTTTCTGGACCCCATAGATTGAGACCGACCTGGGTAAAGTACTTGTGTGCTGTTTCACTGGAACAATGCCTAAGATAGTCAGCTTACGAAGGAAAATGGTTTATTTTAGCTCACAGTTGTAGAGCCTTCCGCTTATCACCAATTGGCTCTGCTGCTTTGGGGGAATGGTACATCATGACAGGAGTGTGGTTGAGCAAGGCTATTCACCTCATGGCTGGAACTTGATAGGACAAAGGGGTCTGTGATTCCATACGCACCTTCATGGGCATACCCCTAATAAGACAAGTTCTCCAGCTAGGTCCACCTGCCAAAGTTTCCATTGCATCCTAGTAGTTTTATACTGGGAACAAAGCCTTTAATACATAGGTCTTTGGGGACAGTGAAGCTCCAAACCAGAACAGTTCCCATCCCAAATGAGATCTCTGACAGGATGATATCAAACAAAATTCAGAAACTGAGCTCACTCTACTCAGGAAGCCACTGGTGATGCCTGTTGTCTTCCTATCTAGCCTAGACTGTTGGTTTGTGGTCTAGGTCTGGTCACCTAATTTTGGCCCTAACTTAGAGCTTAGAACTTTGGCCTTAACTAGAGCTCTCACAGTGCTGTGCTTTGCTTTCAGCCTGGAGCAGGAGCCCACTGAGGAGGCTGAACCTGAGGAGGCAGTGGAGCAGACAGAGGTGAGGCCACAGGCAGGAGACACGTAGGACTTGAGCCCTCCAGGTCTGAAGCCATGTGCCATGGCTGTCCTGAGCTCAGAGGATCCATGTGGGCTCCTTCAAGCCTTAGTTCTTCCTGTAGGTCTCCAAGAACAGTGGCTGTACCTCAAAGCGCTACAGTGCCACCAAGATTGTGATTAGTACACCAACCTCGAAGCCTGTGGCCACTGGCCAGGCAACTGCCATTGAAGAGCAGCAAGGTGAGTTGACCTGGCCTGTCTCTTAGGATACAGAGCCCCATTTTCTGGTCTGATAGGCCAAAGATAAATTAAGCTGGAAGAGGCCATGACCTTCTGGCTAGAGCTGCTGCTGACTGTCACATGAGTAACTATAGCTAGATGTTTAGGAAGCACAGAGGGAAGGGCCTGAATGAGGCGAAGGTATGAAGGTGCCATGTCACAGTCTTGAGCCCACTCCAAGGGATTCATGAAGAACTGCAGGCTGGGATCTGAATGCCTACCCGCCTCTTGCTCCCAGCTTGTTACTAACTTTTCTAGTTGAAAAGGGGCCAGATTACTGTGGGCTTTGGCAGTTGGACAGGAGCTCTGCCTGGCTTCCCAGGCTACTATAGGCTCTAGAGTCTGGCTCCTGTTTCTCTGTGGAGGCTCTGTGGATTTCTCTGGTGTGAAGAAAGTGGCAGTTGTAAGGTTTGAGCAAAGCATCCTGTTTATGAAGGGGCCGAGGATAGTTGTTGCGCCAGCCTGCAAACTCCCAGGACTGCTGCAAGACCCTTTGGTGTAAAGGGTGCTTCCTCCTGGTGTGAAATAGAATATCCTATGCCCTGTGTGTCCCCATGAAAGGAACCTACTTTTCCTGTCATGGAGGTACCAACTGAAGGCCAAGAGAGATGTGTTTGATTGTAGTAGAGTTTGCAGCTTGTCATAAAGTTTCTGCACATAGCTTTTTGTGGTAGAGGGAGTGGCACATAGAGTGAGGCTTTGGTGATACTGTCCTGTCATTTGTGTCACAGTTGCCAAGTATTAGGGCTGGAGGACCTGACCTGGGGGCCAGTATACTGGGCTAGTTGCTGCTAAGGTTGGTGTTTCTGCCATTGGCCACCCTGAGGTTGTCAGAAGGGGACCTTGTTCCTGCTGTCACTGTCGCTGCTGCACCCTTCCCTAAACTGGCATGTGTACCCCACTGGCAACCCTATAGCCTCACTGAAGTTGTCCTCTTCATTCACAGAAGCCAAGCTTGACCAAACAGATGGAAACAGAAAAGCACCTCAGAGTGTCAGGTGTGCATCTGGGAAGGGATTTGCAGGCAGCTCTGGTCTGAGGACTCCAGAGGGCCTCGAACCAAGCTGGGGTCCTTGTGTAGGGAGGGTAGGTATGTGGCCAGCATTCTCCTTGGCTGGTGTCAAGACTTCGATTCTCTGACTAAACAGAGGAGGCAGCTTGATGCTGTAGATGCTGGCTTGGGAATGGGTAATCATGTTCCTCTGCATCCTTCTGGCTCTGTGACCTTTGACTGGCCACCTACATTTTTCTGGGCAGCAAAGGGCCAGTCTGTGGTCTCTTCCAGTCCAGAGTTCTGTGGCTTGAGCCCAGACTTTTTGCAAAGGATGATCTTTATAGGATGTAGTAGGGTTATGAGGTGGGTTCTCAGGTCCTCTTTATGATGTCTCTTGTCCTGGGCAGAAGGAAACGCAGTTACAAACAGGCAATGAGTGAACCGGATGAGGAGCAGCCAGAGGATGAGGAATTTCAACCCCCCCGGAACAAGACCCCTTCTCCAACCTGTCCAGCCAACAAGGTGAGCAGGTTCTTGTTTGTCCTTACTTGGTGTCTGCCCTGCCTGCTCCGTGCTGACCCTGGCCCTGGTCTGTAGGTGGTACGACCCCTCCGGACCTTCTTGCACACAGTGCAGAAGAACCAGATGCTTATGACCCCTACTTTGGCCTCCCGCAGCAGTGCCATGAAATCCTTCATTAAACGTAACACTCCCCTCCGTATGGACCCTAAGGTAAGGAAGCCTGTCCCCTGGCTGTGTTTTGCTGGACCTGGGACAGTGTGGTTGAAGGCTCTCTTAGTTTGCTGGAAGTGGTGTGGGCCTGGGCAGTGATCATGGGCCAATTAAAGCCTCTGTAGCCAGGGGTTGCCTCAATACTGTGGTGCTGTGCTGACCTTATGGACCTAGGACTGTGACTCAGAAGCTTGCTGAGCTCTAGGCTGGGAAGTGGGAGGACTGGCTTAACAGACCTCACACTGGCCATCATGTCACAGACCAGTGGTGGGAGTGACTTGCGGGGAGCAACTGAAGACACCTTTGCTGTTGGGAGAGAGAGAAAGGGTTGGGTGAGGTGAGGTAGCTGTGTGCATGGTGAAAAGTCCTGAGCAGACTCACTGCCACAGACAGGTGCATGGCCAGCCCTGTAGGACATCCCTTGGCATTAACTCTCGGTGTTTTTCTGTTTCCTCTCCACAGTGCAGCTTTGTTGTAAGTAAAGCCTTTTCCTGTCCTTTAACAGAGCTGTACCTAGTTCTTAGCTATTTCCATGTCACTGTGTAGCTGACAGCCCCCGTGGAAGCACTAACATCGCAAGCGGGAGTGTTAGGAAGGCAGATGTGCATGTGGGGGTACTGGGGTCACCAGGATAGCTGGTGACATCCAACTCCAGCTCTTGTGGGACTCTGCATCCTCCCACTGTAGAGATAACCCTCGGCCCTTAACCCTGCTATAGGGATAACACAGCTAAAAGTGCTCCCACAGCCATCTACTTCCTCATCCCCAGCGCTGGGGTCTGAGGGTCTGAGGGTCTGAGAAAAAAACAGACATGTCTCTGGTGCCCAGAGCCACTGGGATTTATTGGGTCATAGACCTGAATAGTAGCCCTGATGGGGTATGTGATGGGGTAGGACTGGTAGCTATAAACTGACGCCCAGTCCAGCTATGCAGGTTACAATGTAGCTGCTGTCATTGGCATCTGGAAACAAGACCAAAGATGCTGTTCTTTTCCCAGACACCTCAGAGCTAGGCTGAGCTGGGCTGGGTCACTTGCTGTGAGCAAGAGCTTTGGAGAACTGGGACATGGGGGCTTAGCTTCTTAGCATCTGTTTAAAGAATTGAAGGAATTGAAGGTGTACACACATACAAATAGAGTGGGATTTCCTTTAAATTATTTTGTGGTGTGTGTGTGTGTGTGTGTGTGTGTGCATGTATGTGCAAGCACATGCTATAGGACATGCTTGGAAGGAAGTTAGAGGGCAATTTTTCCCTGTTTTGAGTCTGTTCTTTTATCATGTAGGTTCTGGGGATCAAAGTAAGGTTGTCAGTCTTGGTGGTAGGTGCTTTTGTCCACAGAGGTCCAGGATTTAAAAGTTCAAGTGCAGGGTAGAAACATTACAAGGGAAGAAGAGACTGGCTGAATGGGTCTAGGAGAAAGAGGAGCTGGTTGCTAGGGGCAGATGGTTTTCTATTCTGATAAACTTTTGATTGACAGTTGAAAATTTGACCTCTAGGTGTGGGTTGTGTACATCCAATAATTTTAACAATATGTATGTCCAGTAAGTAATACATGGGCTTGAGAAGTTAATAAGGTGGTCCCACCCTCCCCAAAGTTCATGCTGGGCACACAGGTTGCTTTATTATGCATGCAATCTAAAGCTGTTTTGGCTCACTTCCTTCTAGTTCTGTGATGGGTTCCAGGGTGTATTTGACCACAAGCTACAAATGGAATTGCTAGGGAGGGAAGGGTACTGCTTTTTCTGGAAAGGGTTTTGTGCAGCTGCAGCCAGAGCAGTTGCTCAGTGCTCAGTTGGAAAAGGGGTGCTTGTTGCTCAGGTCACATCGTTTGTCCTGGGTTGCTGAGCTTTTTACACCTTCATGGAGCCCATTGTTAGAGTTCCCAAGGAGAGTTGTGAAGACACCTGGAGGGCTTCTGCCTTCAGCTGATGCCTTAGCATGTGGGAGGGTCTCAGCAGCTGGCTAGATGGGTCCTGAGCTTGTTTGTCTAGAACACAGGCTTCTCCTCTCTGTTTGTCCAAGGTGACAGCATATCTCCCAGCTGTGTGGCTTCATGGAGTTATTTTTGTGCTTGGCAGTGAAGAAGGCTTGACTTGTTCCTTCTTCAGTTGGCCATTCATTTCCTTCCCTTCTTTATATTGACTAGGGCCTTGCAGGTATCATGGGCATGGCCAGTAGGCACTACAAGTTGCCTTTTCCTGCTTTGTGGGAACCCAAGTCCCTGCACAGGGCATCTGGTGGGTATAACTTGGATACCAGAGACTAGGAAGGTTGAAATGTTCTGGGCATTGAACACCTGAGTTTTCTCAGCTACAAAATGGAGAAAGCAGTGAGTAGTACTTCAGGACATTTGGTGACTTGGAGAGTGTGTGCATGCATTGAGTGCAGGGCTTGGTATAAAGTAGTTTTAGGGACACATGTCAGGGAGAGTGCTCAGGAGAAGCCTCCAGGCAGAAGAGGCTACTCTAGCTTGTAGTTTCCTCCCATTTTGCTTAGGCCTTGAGAGTGATTCTGGGAACATAGATGACCAAAACTCATTTGAAGTCTGGGCCAGAGAAGAAATAAATTCTGTACCATGAAAGACTCTGAAAGCACTGGCCAAATAATGCAACAGAATAAATGATCTGACTAGTGCTGGGAAATTTAACACTCAGGCTTAAGAATGAAAGGCTGAAGTTTGATTGGCTGTAAAGAGAGAGTGGTGGTGGTGGACATTGGGTACCACCCAGCCTTTGCTTCTGAAATGTTTTATTTCCCAAGGAGAGCACTTATACACAGTAGGGTGGGAGAGAAACTTGGAGTGTGACCCTCCTGGTGTTTGTGTGTGTGTCTGTGTGTCTCTGTGTGTGTATCTGTAGAAGACATGGTCTCTAGTAGCCCAGGCTGGCCTTCAGCTCCTAATCTTGCTGCTTTTATTTCCCAAATCCTGGGATTATAGGTGTGTGTCACTGTCTTGTTCCCATTTTTCTTCTGAAGTCTGGGTAGTTGGAGTAACTGGGACCTAGTGAAGGTCACTCATTGCTTCCATGTGGATTCCCCAAAGACCAGTGCTTCTCAGGCCCTTCTATACCCAGCTTGGCTTCTGTAGCTCCTCATGTCCCTCTCTCTTTCCATTTCCCAAATGTTTTTTGTTTAAAATTAAAAAAAAAAAAAAAAATCACAATATGGTGAAATTTGGGGAAGGTATATTTCCATGAATTTTAGCATGATTTATATAGCCATTACCATAATTGGGATATAGACCGTGTCCATGTCATTACCCACAAAAAAGCTCTTAGCTACTCCTTTATGTCCACACCATCCTTATTCTCTTAATTTCAGCCAATACACACCTGTTCATAGTCACTAAGAATGTTTTTGGAGGATGTCATGTGAATTGTGTTGTGTCATATGCTGCCTTTGGTGGTTAACTGCTATTCTTCCAGATAAGATTTTTGAACCGATCTAAATTGGTGTGTTTAAAGTAATTGTACCTAATTGGCTTTTTAAGAAAAATTTGGCAATGTCTTCTATTACACGCGCACACACACACACACAAACATACACACACACACTTATTTATTTCATGTGAAATAAATAAACGTGGGTGTTTTATCTGCATGTATGTCTGTGCACCATGCACTACTTGCATGCTTTGGTACCCAGGAAAGCCAGGAAGGACGACATCAGATCCCCTGGAATTGGAGTTATAGATGGTTGTGAAACACCTTGTGGGTGCTGGAAAGCACTAGTCTAATCCCTGGCCAGAGAACGTTTGGAGCCCCTCCCCACCTTTGCTCTTGTGCATAGCTATGACTGTGTCCCCGTGGACTTTCTGGATCTGCCTGCAGGGTAATGCCAGCACTGATCTGCTGTACAGCTAGCTATTAATGTTTTAAAAAATTATTAACACAGGCATATCACAAGAAATTTGGAAACTAAAAGGAAAGACATTTCATCCTTGATGTAGCTCACTAGCCTGCGTAACTGTTAACATTTGGTAGTACTTTAATTTTTTTAAGAGTGGTGCATGTACATATTCCTAGCATGTATTGAAAATCATAGCAGTAGTGATAAATGAGCATTCCTTCACCTTGCCCTCCCAAATAGAGCATTAGTGGACACTTTGTAAGTTGCCTTCCTTTCTCTTTGCTTTCTTAGTTTTTAGTCTTTTCTTCAAGCTGTTTATATAATTATAATCAACACACATCTAATTTGAGGCTGCTTTTTGTGTTGCTTGTGGTTGGGTTCTGGGGAGGCATTCAGGTCCACCTGGAAGGAGAAACTGAATGCTTGTGCTTGCCTGAGATGTGCTGGAGCATCTCTTCCTAAGAGGCATCTGCTGCCACGTCTGGTTGAGAACTGATGCACACCGCCAGGCAGCTTTTGGGGTTGGTGGGCGTTGTCATTCACATCCCTCCCCCACTGCCCTCTTCAGGAGAGGGAGCGCCAGCGCCTGGAGAACCTAAGGCGGAAGGAGGAGGCTGAGCAGCTGCGCAGACAGAAGGTGGAGGAGGACAAGCGACGGCGTCTGGAGGAGGTGAAGCTGTAAGTGTCCCAGCTCCTAGCCCAGCTTGCTCCAGCCTAGTCAGGCTCTCCTTAGCTGTGCTGTGCCCACAGGAAGCGGGAAGAGCGCCTCCGCAAAGTGATGCAGGCCCGTGAGCGGGTGGAGCAGATGAAGGAGGAAAAGAAGAAGCAGATTGAACAGAAGTTTGCTCAGATTGAGGAGAAGACAGAGAAGGTGAGTCTGGGCTGATGGGCAGTGAGACTAAGTGAGTGGTGCCTGTTGGTAACCCGGGCACTTTAGGCTTGGCTTCCTGAAGTGTGGGACTAGACTCCTCTACAAGTCATTGATTGGATGGTCTGTATACCCCTGCTTTCTGTCACATGGGCTCTGGAGTCTCTTGTGAGGCAAGTTAAATGCTGTAAGTCTGCCCTAAATCTTCCCAGCAGCCCTTTGTGAGTGGGCAGTCTTGGGTAGTTTTTGTGCCTTTTCCCTGGCTCTGGGCAGCAGGCAGGGTTTGTAGTGGAATGGGGGTACCCATTACAGAGCTCTGGGCCTCACTCTGCATGCTGAGTGAGGGGCTGCTCCAGAGAGCACATGGGAGTGGATTCTGCAGGCTAAGGAGGAACGACTGGCAGAGAAGGCCAAGAAGAAGGCAGCTGCCAAGAAGATGGAGGAGGTAGAGGCACGCAGGAGGCAGGAGGAGGAGGCGCGCAGGCTCAAGTTGCTCCAACAGGTGCGATTCCAGGTGGGGACAGAGAGGAAGTGGGGTAAGACAGGCACTGAGTGCCTCCATGCCATGAGGGCTGGCTGGACACACCCATTCTGTAGAGTAGATCACATTGGATCTTCTCAACCTGAAGGTTGGGTGGTGGTGGTGATTTTTTCTAAACACTGAAATTTGAGGATTAAATATGTGCATCTGGTGTCTGGCTTTACCTCACAGCTGCTATTTCTTAGCAGGTTACTCAGGTAGCAGCAATCTTAATGCTATGATTATAGTTGAAAGCAAAATTCACTAATGTATATGAAGTATGCCATGCCCGGTATATGCTGAATATCCTGTAGGTGATTGCACTTACCCTCCATCCTTGAGCCTTACGCTTGGCAGAGTAGGGCCCTGCCTCTCCCTGGGAACTGGCAGTCTTGCTACTGTAGGGAACAAATGTCCATCATTGGGGAGTTCTAGTACTAACCAGTGTGGTTTACTTTTGCTGTAGTAGACATGTCTTAAGTATTAATGTGTGTTAACTCAGCAGCTCCATGAGGTGCAGGTGTTGCTCTCGCCCTGTTTTACAGATGGGAAACTGACCATTAGGTCAGATGGCTTGCCCACTGTACACAGCTTAAATCCAGGTTCCACGCTTGCTTGTTAGTTCTTCCGCTGCAGTTGCCAGATGCCTTTTCAGTCTGGCCATGACTTGCATAGAGTCTGGTGACTCAGTTCTAGCTGATGTCACGGTGGTGTCCAGTGCCTTAGGAGCACGGACTATGGGCAGGAGCAGCCGCTCAGCCCTTGGCTAGTTTCTTCCTGTGGGCCTAAGCCTGGCTTGAGTGTCCCGCACTGCCAACTCAGGAGGAAGAGGAGCGGCGGCATCAAGAAATGTTACAGCGGAAGAAGGAGGAGGAACAGGAGCGGCGCAAGGCGGCTGAGGCCAGGCGACTGGCAGAGCAGCGTGAGCAGGAACGGCAGCTGGCTGAGCAAGAGCGTCGTAGGGAGCAGGAACGCAAGAGGGAGCAGGAGTGTCTTCAGGCCAAGAGGTGAGGCCACCCACTGCCATTCACTACTGTCCCGTGTGAGCGAGAGGCAGCATGGCTGTTGCTTGGCAGCTCTCGTCTTCACCTGAAGATTGGTAGGCTTTCCCTTGGCTTCAAAACCAGATGTCTACGGTTGGTGGACCACCAAATAGGGTGATTCAAGGGGTAACAACTGGGGGGGGGGTCATTCCATGTTTTGTTCTGCTTCTACCAGAATGTACTAACCCCTTTGATGTCTTTCTCAGTGGATACAGTAGGGTGGGGGAACCCTAGGACAGACTAATAGTTCTCCATAAGGCTGCCACAGGCATCATGGGCAGGAGGGATGTTTGTAGTGCAGTACATAGAGCATCTTTAGCCCTGGCCCTGTGCTTCCCTTGGTGTAAAAAAGAGAAGTGTGAGGCTGTGAGACCTTCCTTGCATGGAAGAGTGGGGCTGCATGTTGTTAGACTCCGAAGTCAGGCTCAGAATCTTACTTTTGGAGAGTCTGGCTGTTGGCTCTAAGCTGGTGTCCAGTTCTACTGTCCCATTCTGTAAAGGCATGTCCACCAAGCCTGACTTCCCTTTCTGGGATGGGAACGGGGCTAGGGCACCACTACTGCCCTCACAGATTCTTGGTGGTCCTCAGGGAGATGCAGGAGAGAGAGAAAGCCCTGCAGCTACAGAAGGAGCAACTTCAGAGGGAACTGGAGGAGAAGAAAAAGAAGGTAGGGTATTGGGGATATGGGCCCTCTGTGGGTCTGTTCTAAGCTGTGAGGTGAGAGCGGGAAGCCTGGGCTAGACTCTTCAGGCAGACCTGCCTTGCTACATGGGGTAACAGTGGCAAGAGGAGAGGGGAGACACAGACCTTGTTGGCTGGGTCCCAGGAAGAGCAGCAGCGCCTGGCTGAGCAGCGGCTGAAGGAAGAGCAGGCGAAGAAGGCCAAGGAGGCAGCAGCAGCCAGCAAAGTCCTGAACATGACTGTGGATGTGCAGGTGAGACATGACCCGGGGGGGAGGGCCTGCCCCATCCTCTGTGCAGGTGAGACATGACCCGGGGGGCGGGGGGCCTGCCCCATCCTCTGTGCAGGTGAGGCCTGTCCCAGGGGGAGGGCCTGCCCCATCCTCTGTGCAGGTGAGGCCTGTCCCCGGGGGAGGGCCTGCCCCATCCTCTGTGCAGGTGAGGCGTGGCCCCGGGGGAGGGCCTGCCCCATCCTCTGTGCAGGTGAGGCCTGTCCCCGGGGGAGGGCCTGCCCCAATCTCTGCTTACAAGCTCAGGCTGTGGTAGAGCCTGAGGAAAGAGGGCAGACAAGTCACCAGTCTTTTTCCTTCTTTTTCATGACATGGTCTGGCTCTGTAACCCAGATAGGCCTCCACGTTGTAATTCTTTTTACAAATTTTTACAAATGTTAATCCTTAACTTCCTAGTGGTAGGGATTACAGGCATGTAGGCCCATACCTAACTTCTCTTTGCTATTTTTCATAATGCATAGTTTTTTTTTTTTTTTTTAATATTATAAAACTAGAATGTTATCTAATAAATACAGGGTCTTGCTGTGTAGCCCTGGCTGGCCTGGAACACTGAGATCTACTTGTCTTGCCTTCTGAATGCACAACTATACCAACATCATCTTAACACATGTATATTTCTTCCTTTTGATGGCTGTGTCCCAGTTAATCACATTGGGATTTAACAAGTTCCTGTTGATGAATGAGTATTTAAATTGTTTAGAAAATACATTATCAAAAAAAAAAAAAAAAAAAATGGGGTGGGGCAAGGTGTTGGTGGCCCATGCCTTTAATCCCAGCACTCAGGAGGCGGGTCTCTATGAGATTGGGGCCAGCCTGGTGTACAGAGTGAGTTCAGAACAGCCAGGGCTGTTACATAAAGAAACCCTGTCTCAAAAAAACAAACAAACAAGAAAGAAAGAATGAAAGTACATTATTGTCACTGCCACCAAGTCAAGATGCTGAGTTAGTTAAAGGGACAGAAGGCTAATTGAGGTCATGGTGTGTCTTGAAGCATCTCAGAGGGAGGGGGTAGAAGTAGAAGAACGTTAGCATGATACAGAGTGGTTTATATTGCCTGACTTGTTTAAATAAAAAAGTGACCCTAAAGTTTTTCTTTTTTCTTCTCCTTGAGAAGTGGGTGGAGATGACCAGAGTGTCACAGAGTCCTCCAGGACACTGTGCAGGGGAAGGGAATAATGGACCTGTTGATTTCCTTCCAGTCTCCTGTTTGTACCTCATATCAAATGACTCCACAAGGACCAAAATCCCATCCCAAGATCAGCACAGATAACTATGGGATGGATCTAAATAGTGATGACTCCACGGATGATGAGGCTCATCCCCGGAAACCCATCCCTTCCTGGGCCAGAGGTGAGCAGAGCCCAGGGCTCCTGAGGCTTGGGCCACTTCCTTCCTCACCATTGTGGGGTGTGGAAATGGTGGCTTAGCTGCTGCAGGTGTATAGGCTGATGTGTTAGTGCCTGGAAGCTTATGGCCTTGGCCCGAGAGGGCTGTGTTGGGCTTTGAGCATGTTCCTAGAGGAAAAAGGGGTATTCTGGCCTAAAGGTCCATCTGAGGATATAGGATAAAGGGTATTGAGTTTCTTTACTCTTGTTGAATGTAGTCATGTGACATGAACTTGAGTCACCTTCTCAGAGTCTGGCCCAGCAGGGTTCTTGAGATTTGTACCCAAGCAAGCACCCATGGGTGAGCATAGTGCATAGCAGGGTTTGGTTGGAATGCTAAGAGCTAGGAAAGGTCATTTGGAGGGGCATTGGTACTAGAGCAGGATTTACCCTTTCTCAAGGTCTCAGATTATATAGGGGTGTGATGCTGTGTCTGGCCTGGGTGTGAGGGCCTGCTAGGGTGCTTTTTAGTATTGGTGAACCAGAAGTTAGCACAGGGTGCCAACGTCAAAAGAAAGGTCCTCGAATCCCACAGCGGGTCAGCACTAGACAGACTGACATCTTACTTTCATGACTCTGACCTTGTTTGAAGTGACTAGACTCTTGTTTTCCTAAGCTGCTCAAAGAGGGGCCAGTGTGGCCTCCTGGTGGTACTTGATGTTGAATTACTTAGTTTCTGTCTGTGAAGAGGACACGATAGCAAGACCCAATGAGATGATTATTGTGAAGTAACTCAGGAACACTACCTGGTGAGGAGCAAGACCAGAGTGTGTGTTCCCTCCTCATCCTCGAGGGTCCTCCTCAACCTGGTTGGCAGGGCTGTGATTCCCATAGCTCTGCTGGTACAGCCTTAGTATCTGTGAGATTGATTGGTGGGCATAGCCAGGCAAGAAGGCTTAAGATCTGGAGATAGGCTTGTCTTCACACTTAACTCTGCCACTCACCTGCCGTGTGCTTTGGACAAGTCTCCTCAAAATGGGGAGAGTAAATTATTGGCTATGCCTACTCCTGGGGTGCTTTGTTTGGGTTTGGCTGCTGAGAAGATGAAGATAAGAGCATGGTTAGTGTTGGGAGGGGATAAGCACAGGTGCTCTCCAGAGGAACAGATAGAGTAGGGGCAGGGCATGCTGGTATGGAGAGGGTGGCTGGACTCTGCAGGTAGATTCAGGGATCAGGGAAGCTCCCAGAGAGCACCAGGCAGTGATCCAGGTCTCTGGTTTCCTCAGGCACCCAGCTCAGCCAGGCCATCATCCACCAGTACTACCACCCCCCGAACCTTCCAGAGCTCTTTGGAACCATTCTCCCACTGGACTTGGAGGACATCTTTAAGAAGAGCAAACCCCGCTACCACAAGCGCACTAGCTCTGCTGCTTGGAACTCACCGCCTCTGAAAGCCACTAGGGTCCCCAGCAGCCTGGCCTATACCCTGAAGAAGCCCTGAGGCAGGTCCTCAGCCTCCTGGCAGGACTGGGCCCATGTGTGTGTGTGTCTGTCTTGTCTGTCTTTCTGTCTGTCTTTCTGTCTGTCTGTCTGTTTCTGTGTTGGGCTGGTGCCCTTCTGTCTGACATATCATTGTTGAGCTGGCTATCAACATCCTCTGCTGTCAGGTGCTCTTAGCCCTGAGGAGGGTGGGCTTGGTGGGTGGCTGCGGAAGAACCAGCTTCAGCACTGATTGGTCTGCAGGTAGTACTCTGTAAATAAATTGTTACAATTCAATTGACTTTTAGTTTCTAGTGTTTGTGAGGTAGTTTAATAAAGTGTATACCTTGAAGCCTGCTGTGGCTGTTGTGAAGACTAGGACCTTCAGTGCAATGTTGGTCTGTAGCAGGATGTTTTGGGCCTTCGCCTGCAGTGCACCTCAAGATCACTTGGGGCCAGATGGTGTCCACCCAGACGTTCTGTTGCCAGGCAATCAGTCCTGTTTGTGAGTGGAGCCTGTTCCTTGGAAAAACCTGGCCTGATACACAGCTTTGCTATTTAGTCTTAGTCCTTCAGCCTGACCACTCCTCAGACTGCCATGCCTGCTGTGTGGGGAGTGGAAGGACTTGAGAAAGTCCTTGTGCTGGGATCTGATCAGGGAAGGAATGACCTTCAAGATGACCTTGGGACCTGGGCAAGCAGGAGGAGATTTCATGACAAAACCACCAGCCACTAAGTAAGTAAGTGCAGGGTGGCTCTGGTCCTGATAGCTCCTAATGGAGCTATCAGCCACATGGGCAGACAGGCCAAATCAAACCACAGTTGTCTTGAACACACCTATAGAAAGGCCCATGTATTTCTCATTATCTCCAGTTGCTCCTCTCTAAAGGCAGTTCAATTATGTGGCCTGAGAAGCTGACCAGCTTACTATGGTAACCTGTTCAGAAAACAATAAAAACTAAATCCAAATGCAATAGTGCTGTAAACAGTGAGGAGACAGTGAGCACAATAGTCCAAGATTCTTCCCACACAGAGTTCATTTATGGTTCGTTCAAATGTGTTGAACGCAGTTCAGTTTATTCCGTTGAGTAAAGTGGAAGGCAAGTCTGTCCAAAGCCACATGACCAAATTCACTTGTCAGTACATTTATTCAGCGCTTAGGAACTCAACAGGAAGACAGTTATGCGGAGTCTTCACCAACATTTGGTGTTGTCTGTATTTTAGCCACTCTAATGGCTGTATGGAAATACTTCATCAATATTTTAATTTGCATTTTCCTAATGGCTGTTGGTGAATATCATTTCAGATTCTTGTTTACCACCTGAATATCTTTTATTGGCAACCGATCTGTTTAAGTTCATTTTGAAATGGGGTTTTTTACTGTGGAGTTTATGATACTTGTAGGAATACGGTCTTTGTCAGATGCACTGTCTGCAGTTTAAACTGTAGTCTATCTTTTTGTTCTAACACTTTTATAGAGCACAATTTCTGATTTGGTGAGGTCTGTGTTAACTTTATGGGTTGTGACTTTTTGAGGTCCTGTCTAAGAAATCCAAAGATTTCCTTCTGTGTTTCCTAAAATATTCCATGATGAACACAATGCATGAGGATTTATGATCATCTCCAGTCAACTTTTTAAACTATGGGGTGTCTGCCCCCTGTTTTTACTTGAGAACATGCAGATGGATGTCTAATTGTAGCACTGTTCATTGAAGAGACTCATTTTCCACTGAGTTTCCTTTGCATCTCCGTTGGGGAAGCATGTTGGCACTGGCCCATGTACAGACTCGCTCCGACTCCATGAGGACCAGAACTTGCAGGAAGTCTTAATCCAGTGCTTTAATTCTTCCAGCTTTGTATTTCCTTTTCTGAGTTTACTGAGTTTGTTTTGACTTGTATTACTTTTACCTTTTCATGTAAATTTTAGAATCAGCTTATATGTATAAAACTTCACAGTTTTGACTAGAATTTGATTGACTACATAGATAGTTGAAGGGGAGCTTGGCACACTTAAAATACTTTTTCAGTCTGAACAGCTTGTCTTTACATCCTTGGTTTCTGTCATTAGCATTTTGTGGTCTTGGCATACATCCTGTACATTTTCTGTTAAATATTTTTGTGGCTTTACTGTAAATGGTATTATTTTTCTGATTTTGGTTTATATACTTGTTCATTGTTGGTATATAGAAATACAATTGGCTCTTGCATGTTGGCCCTGAATTTTGTGATATAACAAAAGTATTACTCAGGGAAATTTATGGCACTATTGCCTCATGTTAGGGGTGAAAAAAAGGGTCTACATGGCCTCAATTGCCACTTTAAGAAATTAGAAAAAGGGCTGGAAAGTTGGCTTAGCAGTTAAGAGTGCTGACTACTCCTCCAGAGGTCTTGGGTTTGATTTGTAGCACTCACACAGTGGTTCACAATCTTAACTCCAGTTCCAGGGATTTGATTTCCTCTTGTGGTCTCCATGGGCACTGTACACAATATGGACAGAACAGATATACGTGTAGGCAGAACACCCATACACATAAAATAAACAAACTAGAAAAAGATGAATTTAAAGTAATAAATAGCACAGGCAGAGCAGAAATCAATACTAAAAAGAAAAAAATTAAAGCAAAAGCATGATTTGAGGGATTCAAGAAAATCCATAAGCCTCTGTTGAGACTCTGAAGATGAAAGCACAGGTTACTTTAGAAGTGTACTGTTGCCATCTTTATCTGACTTTGAAAGATGGCGTCAGTACACTTTGAACAAGTTTTAGATAAACACCAGGTATGGTGGTATATCCCTGTAACCACAGTACTCATGAAGCTGAGGCAGAAGAAGGGGCTTCAGTTTGAGGACAGTCTGAGCTACACACTGGGATTTTTGTTGCAAAACACCTAAAGCAGAACAATAAGATTGAACAATTTAGAGATATTATTGATTAAATGACAAATTTCTTGGGAATACAGATCGTCTCAGTTCATTTAACAAATCGAACACCTAAGTAACCTATGAAAGAAACTGACTTTTTAGTTAATCTTTCACAAGGAAACAAGGTATAGGTAGCCTGAGTAGCATTACATTCATTTTGTTTGTTTTTGAGACAAGGTTTCTCTGTGTAGCTTTGGAGCCTGTACTGGAACTCAACTCTGTAGACCAGGCTGGCCCCAATCTCACAGAGATCCTCCTGCCTCTGCCTCCCAAGTGCTGGGATTAAAGGCATGCACCACCATTGCCTGCCTTATTACATATTTTTATAGGAAAATAAAACCATATATCTATTGCCTTGCACCCATGAGGGCAGCAATGTCCTGATTCCAAGGGGAAAAAAGTTCCATTAACTCCTAGTGAACATACATGCGTTTTGTTTTGTTCCCCTTGTGGAGGTTGGGGGTGGTGGGCACAACAGCATTTCCCTGTGTAACTTGGGCTGTAACTTAACCCTTTTTGCTTTTGGCTTCCTGAGTGCTGATGATGGGTGTGTACATTCATGCCTGGCAACACAAGATTTGAAAAGTTGTAACAAATACCTATGACAAGTTCTCTTACATGGGCAGGTAACATTCAAAAATTAGTATAATTGACCATGTAAGTAGCATAGGAAGAAAGTCATGACCAAGTAGATAGAAATTCAAAACTCAGCAATTGCATGTCTATAATTTATGATAAACCCTACATAATATTTGGATTTAAGGGAAGTTTTTTTTACGAATATAAAGCACTTTAAAAACAACAAAAACCTAGCAAATAACACTCTATATGGTGAATTCATGTGTTCTTCCTAGCTGCAGTTCAGGATGCCATTTTTTTCTAAATACCTAATGGGTTTATAGTCAGTGCCATAAAGACAAAAAGAGGAAAAGGTAAGAATTAAAATTCATCAGGGGCTAGGGTGTACCTCAGGAATAGAGAGTGTGCTTAGCATGTATAGAGCTTTGGTTTAGTCTCCAGTACTGAAAGCTTGAGAGAATGTAGGGAATTCAAAACATCTAAAAAGTTTCCTCTTCCTGCCCAAGCGCTGGGGTCATAGGCACTTGGCACCAGGGCTTAACAAAAAATTTTTTTTTCTTGGTGTTGCTAGGAAATCAAATTCAGGGTTCATGCTAGGCAAACATGCTGCTACTGAGGTACATAAGGAGCTTTTGTATTTCTATATTGACCATGGAATCAGAAATTGAAGTAGAAATATAAATTATAAATAGTGTCTGGAAAATCTTAGGAATACACTTGACAAAAAAAGTCTTGAAACTCAAACAATGAAAACTAAATACAACAAAGACAAATGTAGGGGCTGTCGATACTGTACTCATGGATGGAAATACTTAGAAAAATGTCAGGTGTCCACCCTGAAATGGCTTACCAAATCCAACACTTTTTTTTTTTTTTTTTTAAATGATAGAGGCAGGATAGAAGTTTATGAAAAACTGGTTCAAAAATTTTAACTGCAGCAGACTTACAAAATAAAACAGCACATTTGTTGAGACAGTACTGAAGTCAGGAGAGTGATTTTGGCATAAAGACAGACACATGTCTGGAATTGTGTGGCTTCCAGAAGCAGACATGGGCTTATCTGGTTGCTTGGGTTTTGACAAAGGCAAAAGGCTGCTCAGAGTGAGGAACAGGCATTGCTTCCATACTCTAAGGGAGAACTGGATATATTAAAAACTTTTTTTGTTCTTTCTCATAAGGCATGCCAGTTTTAACTTATAGTTGATCGAAGATTTAACATTTAAAGCTAGAAATACAAAACTAGAGGAGAATGGAACCAGGAGATGGCTCAATGGGAAAGGCACTTGCCATCAAGCCTGATGACCTGAGTTAGATGCATGGACCTAGGTAGTGAAAGAATATTGACTTCCTATAAATTGTCATTTCACCTCCACATGTGTACTGTGGCATGTGCACACTTTCTTCTCCCATTACATACATAAGTACCACTACCACCAACAAAAAAAAAATAATTTTTTGAGATTCTTATATTGACACAAAAATTTTAAATCATAAAAAAGCATCAATAGATATAAAAATTCACAGCTTTTGTCTTCAACATAACTGGATGTTGACATGTAAAAGAATGCAAATAGATCCATACCTATCACCATGCACAAAACTCAAGTCCAAATGGATCAAAGACTTCAACATAAATCCAACCACACTGAACCTCATAGAAGAGAAAGTGGGAAGAAGCCTTGAACACATTGGCACAGGAGACTGATTTCTAAATATAACACCAGTAGCACAGACACTGAGAGCAACAATTAATAAATGGGACCTCCTGAAACTGAGAAGCTTCTGTAAAGCAAATGACATGGTCAACAAGACAAAACAGCAGCCTACAGAATGGGAAATATCTTCATCAACCCCACATCTGATAGAAGACTCAAGAATATACAAAGAACTCAAGAAACTAGACATCAAAAGACCAAATAATCCAATAAAAAATGGGGTACAGATCTAAAAAGAGTACTCTTGACAAAAGAATTGCAAATGCCTGAAAGACACTTAAGGAATCGTTCAACATCCTTAGTCATTAGAGAAATGCAAATGAAAACAACTCTGAGATACCATCTTAGACCCATCAGAATGGCTAAGATCAAAAACTGATAACAGCTTATGCTGGAGAGGATGTGGAGAAAGGGGAACATTCCTCCATTGCTGGTAGGAGTGCAAACTTCTGCCGCCACTTTGGAAATCAGTATGGTGGTTTCTCAGAAAATTGGGAATCAATCTACCTCAAGACTCAGCCATAACACTTTTAGACATATACCCTAAGGCTGCACATTCATACCACAAGGACATTTGCTCAACTATGTAAATATCAGCATTATTTGTAATAGCCAGAACCTGGAATCAACCTAGATGTCCCTCAACCAAAGAATGGATAAGGAAAATGTGGTACATTTACACAATGGAGTACTACTCATCAGTAAAAAGCAATGACATCTTGAAATTTGCAGACAAAAGGGAAGAACTAGAAAAAGCCATCCTGAGTGAGGTAATCCAGACCCAGAAAGACAAATATAATATGTACTCACTCATAAGTGGATATTAGTCATAAAGCAAAGGACAACCAGCCTGTAGAGGACCCTAAGAGAGACATACATAGATCCATCTAGGAAAGGGAAATAGACAAGATCGCCTGAGTAAATTGGGAACATGGGGGCAGAGGGAGGTTGGGAGGGGAGAGAAGAGGGGGGAAATGTATAGCTCAATTTAAAAAAAAAATGGCAAAAAAAAAAAAAAGGAAGAAAGTTTGCAGCTTTTGCTTTTTAAGTCAGTGCTGTTTTTTTTTTTTTTTTTTTTTTTTTAATCCATCCTAGGAAAGGATGATGTAAACATCCAACACACACACATGTGCACACACACAGAGTTGTGTTGCCCAGAAGAACCCTAGTGTGTTAACCTTATCATGCTATTCAAACATACTATTGCCAACACCAATTGTATCAGCAGCCCCTTCCTCTAATAGTATCATATCCATCTGCCTGTCTATCCATCAATCCATCCATCCATCCATCCATCCTTCGATCACATAGGTTAGAAAGATGCCTTGGACTCTAAGGCACAGGAATGGTTAACATAGCAGTGAAGACAAAACCAAGGCTGGATAGTCTCCAACAGAAGCCATCATATTTAGAATTCTGGGCAGGAAAGATGGCTCACTGGGTAAAGGTTCTAGGCTGCTAAACCTGATGACCCAAATTCAATTCCTGGGACCCACATGGTGGAAGGAGAGAACCAACTCCCAACAGTTGTCCTCTGATCTATCTCCAAATGCACACAGTGGTATGAGTGTGCACAAAATAAAATGTAATTTATACAATTTGGAACTTTAAAAGTTGTAAACCAGGTATATTATAGAAGATGGTGTTTGTTTCATTTTGCCAGAAAGTTTGCAAATCTTTCAGTCTGCTTTACTGGGACAAGAACATTGTAACACGAATAATAAAAGCCTGGAGACAGACAATGGGATTCAAGCTTCAAGCTGAAGATCAGAGAAGCAGAACAGCCAGCCACTAGCTCTTACCTCCACCTCAGGCTGAAAGAGCTGTCCTGTCTCCACGAATCCTCAGAGGCAAAAGCCGAGTTCCTGTCTCCTCCTGCCTTATATTCCTTTCTCTGCCCAGCCATAACACTCCTGCCTCTACCTCCTTAGTGCTGGGATTAAAGAAGTGTGATCTCAGGTGCTGGGATCAAAGGCGTGAGCTCTGTTTTTCTTC